ATTGTGATCAGATCTTTTGTGACAACTGGCTATTAAAAACAACAATGTTGATTATGTCTCTGTGGAATAGTAACAAAGTAGGATAAAACTTCAGACTTCAGGTTTCACCAAGTGGCTGGAAGTTGCCTATTTTACAGAGTTAAGGTAAATTACCACATTCATCTCAGGTTGCAAGTAGAAAACAAACTTTGTGATCACTTTGCAAATTGGAAAACAAAGTGTATGTTTTATTTAAAAAACTATATGTTAGCATTTAAATAGGTTGTGACTATAAACAATTAAAGCTCATATTTCACAAATACCTTACTGTGCAGTGATTAAAAATAGGCAACATCAATTTGATATTTATAAAATGCTATTTCAGGCACTTTTTATGAAGTAATATCTTGCCAACAGATACTAATTTTAATTTCTGTTCTCTAGGAGAGTCATATATTTTACTATGTCACTCATAATCTATTTTAAACATCAAATGAGTTATTCTGTGTTACTTATATGAGTTTACAGAAAATAGGATATGAACAAATCCAAGTTTTGTGTTTCACAATACTAAACTTTACTGTTAAGCAAATAATGGCTTCTTTGTGCATTAAGTTTCTTGAAGGCAGGCTGGTTGTTCTCATTTTATAAAATGACATATGAACTATGAGTGAGAGTTGAAAGAGGAGGACGGATTTGTATTAATTTATCAAGAAGAAATCTACGGCCGGGCGCGTGGCTCATGCCTATAATCCCAGCACTTTGGGAGGCCAAGGCAGGTGGATCATGAGGTCAAGAGATCGAGACCATCCTGGTCAACATGGTGAAACCCCATCTCTACTAAAAATATAAAAATTAGCTGGGCATGGTGGCATGCACCTGTAGTCCCAGCTACTCAGGAGGCTGAGGCAGGAGAATTGCCTGAACCCAGGAGGCAGAGGTTGCAGTGAGCTGAGATCTCACCATTGCACTCCAGCCTGGGTAACAAGAGTGAAGCTCTGTCTCAAAAAGAAAAAAAAAAGAAGAAGAAATCTTAATTTGGGAGATTAATAAAATATCTCTTTAGAACTCACCAACATACATAACATTGTAAAGCTGTCCCAAGTAATTCCTTTTAGAAAAAAAAAAAAAAAAAGCCTGTGAAGTTAATCTGGGCACCCAGCTAGTGTCTTTTCTTCTACATAGAAGACAGTCTCTACTTGACAATCTCTGATGAAAATGAATCTACCATAAATGCCATAATGTTTTAAATCTTAGAGGAGTCTCAATGGTTAGCAGAAAAGAATATGTCATTATTGGGCTTTTATATACTTAACATTTCTCATTTTCTAATTTTAGCTTCTTCGATAATTATTTTTAATCTAGGTAGAACGGGCTCTAAACATGGAAGCATTAAATGAATAAAGGGCTGAATTCATTAGTGTTGAATACATTGGCTAAGCCATGTTTGCTTTCTCTGTTTTGTATCAGTAGCCAGCATAAAGGTTAAGAAAATAAGATTTGTAAGACTGACCCATGTTCAAATCACAGATTTACTGAAAAGTCACCGAGAAATGACTGACCCTACCTAAATTAAGTTTTTTTTTTTAATCACACATTGGGGATGACAGGGAATGGGAATGTTACAAGAATGAAAAGAACCGCATATAAAATGCTTAACAGAGTGCCCAGCAAATGGTAAGTCAAGGTGAGCCTCTAAATAAAATTACTATTATGATGAACCTCTGTGTCATAAAAGGGACTTTAGAGAATGCCTGGAATCTAAAGATGAATAAATTGCTTAGTTATGCCCAGGAACCGACTCTGCTTGGTGGGGCTGAATTTAGGTCACTAACTATGAGAGGCTGTGATGTCTAAATAGTTCCTAATGTGGGCACAGATTATTTGTGTAAATTCTTCATGATAGTAGTGAAAATGAACATATAAAAGGCCTGTGTGCTATAAAAAATTCCGTTCTGGATCCAGTAAAATCTGGACCCACTCACTGGCAACTATCCCTGGAAGCTATAAATACCTTTTAGGGACCTTGGTGGTCAAGGGAAGTGCTTTCACAATTCCTGTATTGGCTTTGTTTTGCCTGATCTCTTCAGCAGAATTTTATATCCTTTGTGAAATAAGAGCCTAATCTAAATTGATAGTGAGTACACAGATTCCTTTCACCAATATGCAAATTACATGAGATAATGCGATGATCCGGCTTAGGCCATTTATCATGCATTTCTTTCTATACAAATCCATGATGTGGACCAGTCTAAATTATATTCCCCAGGGAAGTAACTAAAAGAAGCAAAATTAACTCTTGTACAATACATGCTACTAAACTGAGTATTTACTCATTCTAAGTAATAGGAGAAAGTTTACTTTCTGTAGTCAGAGCCATATTAACAACAGGCACTGCAGACATTTTCTTACTACATATGAATTCTCTTGCTGGAGCCGAGCTACCTCCCTTACTCTCACCCCCAGGCCTTATACAATTCCACCACAATCACATGTGCTAAGCCAGGTCCCGCAGATCAAACACACCAGGTGAATCCATTTTTCGGTCTCTCACATTAATTTTGCTTAAGGATACAGAAATATATTGAAAGGAGAATTGAGAATAAGTCAGAGTTACATCCTCACTTGGTGTCTTTTTTTTATCTCATTTCAGAACTAGGAGTAGAAACTGAATCCTGGGAAAGGCTAAGATCGTAGAATCACGGCATATTTTTCCATAACTGGAGAAATTTCAGAAGAAAAGATATAAAGTCTAAAGACACTCTGTGTAACAATTCTTAGAGTTAACTTAATGAAAGGTGAAGAGAAAACATTCCTAGAATTAAGTGGAAATCACTAACGCTTAAGAGCAGTATATGGAAAATCTATACAGCATAATTATAAGAGAATTAATTGTGCTTTAGAAAAAGGGTCTAGTTATCAAAAACAATTTTATAATTTAATAATTTTTTCTGGAAGAAAAATTGCTATTATTTAATCCTCTAAAATAATATAAACACTTCTAGTCCATCAACTGAACTAAATACCATGTATAACCCCGGCAAATACATCTCCTTGTGGGACAAGAATAAAGCAAACAGGCATTATAAAACTGGTGGAGCTTTGTAACTGGAGGATTGGCCCTTTTGTTAATATCACATGGGACATGTGGAGATTAGAAACTCACATATGTGACAGGGAAAAGATGAGTTAAGATTTCTAATGATAAATGTATTCAAAATGATAAAAAAGCATAGATCATCAACAATAACAATGAAAACTTAAAGCCATTGTTGTTGATGGGCAGAATGTCAATTCTCTTTAAAAAAAAAAGTTCCAAAAATAATCCCATTATATTATCTTCCCCCTAGTTTAATGTGGTATTGTTTAATTTTTGTGCTTAACAATAATATGATCTTTTTATTTCAAGTTTGCTTCTGGATAATTAATAAAAGTGATGATTAATAATTCAATGACTGTTTCATGTTTACATTAAGAATATCTACATATTATCTAGTTAATTATGTGCATGTTAATAATTTATTTAACTTGAAAGCAATATTATAATATACTTTGGTAGTTTACTTCTTTAATTAACATTAAAATATATCATTATACTTGGGAAGAATGAGTGGGCATATACTAACAACTAAATATGACAATATGAAAAGTATTTGATAGTACATTTAATCTCTCCCCTCCCACCTACCTTCACATTTATTTTCAGTGTAATACATTTTCATTAAAGATAATTAAAATACAAACAAAAAATGGTTTTGAAATCTATTTTCACAAATAACACCCAATCTTAACTTTTTAGTGTATTTTTTTTTTTTTTTTTGAGACGGAGTTTCGCTCTTGTTACCCAGGCTGGAGTGCAATGGCGCAATCTCGGCTCACGGCAACCTCCGCCTCCCGGGTTCAGGCAATTCTCCTGCCTCAGCCTCCTGAG